CTCTGTCTTTATCTCCGCTAATTTAAGTTTCTATAGTAACCGCACTTGCTTGTAGTGCTAGCGCACTACAGCGTACCTGCATGGTGCATGCTACTGCTTTAAATGCTCCGCCCAATGGCTAATCCATACTTTAACCTAGAAAAATGTAATAGCTTCTCAAGTTTATTTACAATTCCAATCTTCCTGAGAAGGATTCTAATATTTTGGCCCCTGACAAGGCGTGTAATGCACGGGGGTTCAGCAAGCACAAAAACACTGAAGGTTTTTCAAACCGAGGATGCATATCATACTTGCATATACGATAATAAGAATTAAGCTCTGTGATATGAGTCAGAGCAGCAAACTGCGATAGGATCCAGGCGAATTATAATGCTAGCCCTCCCGCCTTAATCACGGACAGAGGCGAGCTGCAATGTAGGTAGAGACATAAAAGCAAAAGTTTTCCAAAAACGAATGACCTCCTTCCCCTGTCCTCAGGCCTCCCGGCCGTTAAGCTCAGGGGCTGGGCGTTGCGGGGAGGAGGATGCCTGAAGTGGGGTTGCAGCGCACCTCGCTGCGGCTGGTAATACAGGCCAACCTCAAGAGTCAACGCAGCTTCCTTTACTGCATGGTTCACCTCTGAATGTACTTATAGACCGTTTGCATATGCTTGCACGCAACCTACCAAGGCAAAGTGAAGGTTCCTGTGCTAACTTTAGGGAAACCATGCTACATCTGCCGCTCCGCCGGCGAAAACCGCACGCGCTAGTGCGCGGATGGCCATGTTGAATGTGATAGGGCTGCGCCGTGTCTGCCTTGCACATGTGGCTGCGGGCTCCTTTTTCCTTGCTCTCCGAACCGGGCCTCCCTTCCCGCCGTGGCTTCTCGTAGGCTACTGGGGCTCCCGGTAAAGCCCCAGGGGAGGCGCCCATCCCCAACAGATGAGAGTACAACATATCTGGTGTGTCCGCCCGCCCCAGCTCGCTGTCTACAACGGAGAAAGGAAAAATAGTGGGGCGAGGTATTTAGCTGCAAGGGACACATGCGTATAAAAATAGGGGAATTCGCTGATACCTAACACGAGACCCGTTGCCAACTAGCGTTATGTTGCCCACTTCTTCGCACAGTTTGCATGCGCACACTGGCTGTAGGTGTTGCGAGGCAAACTAGAACTCGTAGCTATTCTGGGATGATCACTTCCCCTAAACGATATTCCAAAGGTCACTCAGGTTCACGGTTTCCCGGCTTCCCAGCCATTTCACATAGTATTCGCGTTTCCCATGACCTCTTCGAGTGGTAATCCGTGCTTCTAGGATCTCTGCATCCTACTTACGTGGCTTCTCCCGATGATGTTGCTGCTGTTTTCTCACAAGGGTGCCGGAGAACCTCAAGGATTCCCGAAACGGTTTTAAGAAACCGAGATTAATAGTATGATGACATCTCCGCGTTGAGGGTAGGTCAACGATGTAGGCCAACGCATTGACCTGAGAGCGGACAGCAAATGGCCCAACCCATCGTGCTGCGAACTTTTAAGGTTGTTCGCCCTCCTGCGCGCTATGGAGGGCGTGCAAACCCAGTAGAACCAAGTCGCCCGGGTTGAAAGCAAATGCTGAACAACTTTTGCCGTAGTTTCTAGCTTGGCGTTCCTGTTGCTTTCTCATGCATTCTCGCGCCGCTGCGAGCTGTGTTCGGACGTTAGAAGCCGTGGTCATTCGGGGCTGTCTTCCAACAGCGAGATCCAGCGTAGGGTTAGCTAATGGAGTCTCTGCCTAGACCAGGGAGGCCGGGGATCAACGAGCCAACGAATACAGTGCAATATTATAAACCATTCTGCACAACCAAGGAGATCAATCCAGTAATATGAGTTCTTTTGGGTATAGAGCCTCAAATACTGTACCAGCGTGCGGTTAGTTTGTTCATTCTGACCTTCTGCCGCCGGATGGTTGGCAGCGCTCATGTTTGAGCCCTTACATGAGGTTGCACCGGAAGTCAGTAACGAACTTCGGATCCCTGTCGCTAACGATGTTTTCTCGGCATCCATGGAGCTTCCACAGATGATTAATGAATAGCTGTGACACTCCTTCAGCTGTGAGAGCGCTCGACCAGGGACTAAAATGAACTTATTTAAAGTGATGCTCATAGATGCTCATAGTATCTGTGTCGTTATGTATCTGCTTAGCATATGCTATTTTCTTAGCTACACAGATACTATCATGGCGTCTGCGTAGTGGTAAGTCCGCTATGAAATGCATTGAGATGTGTCCTTCCAGATCCTTTCGGGAGTTGGAAGGCTTCGCACGGGTCTGAATCTGAGGGTGTTCCGCAGCTTCTCCTGCTGGCATTCTGAACAAGAGATGACGTTTTCCATAACTGAGGCGAGCACACTAGGTCGTCAAAAGGACCTGGCAGCACTCTCCGCCGTTGTACTGACCCCACCATGGCATAATCATGCACTTTGGACAAATATTTACTGCGAAGCGGGGCTGAAACGTAAAATATACGAAATTCACGCTTCGTTGGGGACCACAGGATGTCGCCATCGATGCTTTAGTGCATGGCCCGTCCCCCATTGTTGAGCCTAGCTAGGACCGCAGCCGCATGAGTACCTAAGGAATAAGAGGAAAGCAATTCAGAGATAAATCGAGAAACAGCACAGAAGAGTGCAATTTCGGAACGTTGTGCATGACCTGAAGGGCGTCTGGAGAGGGCATCAGCGATCACGCTGGTGACACCCTTGATATACTGGACAGTTAAGCCGTACTGCGTGAACCGGGAGAGCCACCGAACAACTCTTTCTTTGTCGTGATCTTGCAGTTTCTTAGCCAAGTGTGTCATGGATTGATGATCAGCTTTGAAAGTCAAGTGCCTGCTATACAGGAAATCTCGAGACCTGTTTACATCCCACCAGACCGCGTAGATGTCCCTCTCCCGTACCGGATACTTTTGTAAAACGGTGTGAGTGGCAAACAACTATTTGGTGCTTTTTCGAGCCGTTAGATTGCTGAGATAGCATAACGCTGACTGTGGTGTCGCCGGCATCGATCGTGAGGAATACGGGTTTACCAAGATCAGCGAGCGTTAGTACAGGGGATGATGTCAGGTGTCGGATGAGGCATCGGGGGCTTCATCCTCATTCTCCGTCCAGATGAACTCTTTGTCTTTCGTAAGCAGATCACCTGGAAGGGCAGCAATGCGAGCGAATCCAGGAATGGAATTGCGGTAGTATGAGGCGAGCCCGAGGATCTTCTGAAGCTCCGCCCGTGTGTAAAGCGGTAGCGGCCACCTCTGAACCGCCTCGATCTTGGCTGGATCTGCTTCAACGCCTGCTGCAGAAACACGAAATCCTAAGAAAATGATTGTTTGCAGGAAAAACGAACACTTCCAGGCTTTCAGGATCCACAGCTCCTCACGTAGTACCTGCAGCGCCCGCCCGAGGTGCTGCAAGAACTCCGCGCCACATTCCGGCTGAGCACACGTACATCATCCATGTAAATTACCATCAAGCCCTCAGTCATTGGCTCCAAGACGTCGTGATTGATTTGCCAGTGCAGTTCAGCAGGTGCATTCACGAGGCCAAATTGCATACAAGTGTACTCCAGTTTGCAAGTAAGGTTGCAGAACGCCGTCTTGCGCCTATCCTCCGGACGAATTGGGATCTGCAAAAATGCCTCAGCGAGTATACCGCTGAACCCTGTAAACGGATAAGAATTGCATCTACGCGGACAATTGAAACTTCTATTTCACCGTGATTTTGTTGAGGGTCTTGAGGTCGACGCACACTTGAGCGTGTCAGTCAGCGTATGCCCGCCGACCCGTTATACTCAGCAGGGGAGTTCAAGAGATGCGCCCCACAATTGACCTTCAAAAAAACAGCCCATTAGTACGTCATGCTTATTGAAAATATTACATTAATATTTTCAATAAGTATGGCCCGAACAAAATCCGGGATAACATGGGAGGGACTGAGGGCTCAGCCTGCAAAACAACCGCTTCCTCCGCCCGCTGTCCATTGCTATGGATTCGCAGCAACCCATCGTGTGAAGGAACTCAGATCCCTACTAGGCCTCATAGCTGAGTTTTGGTATGTATTTCTGTTGTCTTCAAGACGCAAAACTGCTGAGACTCTTTGGTGCACCCACTTTCTTAGAGCCTGCTCGCAAGCAGCGGTATACGGACCCACATCGCACAGGCACCCTCGTGATCCACCAAAATTGTGAGAAACTCCCCTTCAGAAGGGCCAGCCTGAGGGGAGTTTGGGGCCTTAGGGATAATGTGGCCCTCGGAACTTGATCCCACTCACGTCAGTAGATGCACCAGTCTCTGCCAGCAGCTCTACGTCTGGTGCCCCCGACAACGACACAAACGCAGATGAAAAACACAATTGTGAGGTATAGTAGGGATCCATGTTCCCTCACACGATGGGGTGACGCGAATCCATAACACTAGAGGTACTGCAGGCCCTGTAAGCTGACGAGATGTGGTGAGAGCCATCAGCCCCCCACAAACTATGCTGAGACCTTTCAGGATAACTTAGAGTATATCGATTTAGTATAAATCCTTGCAGTTAGCTTTACGTATTACTAGGTTGTGTCTCTGAAGGACTACTGTGGGGTGCATCCATAGAACCCCACAGCTGAGTATAGCGAGCTGGCAGGCAATAAGTATCATACTGAAACAACAACATACCAAACTAACAAAGGTTAAAGGAAATTAGTTCTCTCAGTTTCTTCTCCAAAATTGTCATCTCCAGCAACCTCACTAGAGCAGGCACTGCGGCCTTTGGGGTTGGGAGAGGAGACGGCGTAGCATGTTGCAGTACCTTTTGAACCAAGGCTCATGCCAGCCTCTCCTATAGGCATACCAATGGTCACTTCATAAAGACTGTTTAATGTATTCACCAGTTTTATACTTCCGCTGTTCACACAACCCTCACTCAACCCTCACTCATTTCAAAACGAGCACGGTATTGTTGCCGTGATTGTAGTGAGTATTCACTGCAGGCAGTGCTGCACCTGGTCTACACCGAATCACCGTTATTTGACCTGTCGTTGTAACGTCAGCAGTTGTGGCAGCGCTGCTGCAAGGTGTGTATGGAAGTTAGATCAGACCACGATATTTGTGTGCAGGCCACGTGTAGTATTATCCATAGTTGCTTTAGGTTTGGAAGCCAAACAAAACGAGATGATTGTGTAAAGTGGCCAGCTGAGCGACAGCTACAATGGGTTTCTGAGGGCCAACCGCCCAAATCGTTACTACAGGAATATTTGGGGGTTCTTATCAATTCTATGGTTACGTCGGCAAGTGTGGGCATGAAAAGCCCAACTCAGAATTGGGCTGCGCCACGCTACAGCTGCTCTATTTCAATGGGGCCCTTGCAGACATCCTCATATATATTTGGCTTCAGGGGCTACTTCCTTCAATGCTGTGATCAGCGCACTATCTCTATATAAAACTTGTTCAGGGCCGCCGCCGGCTGCACTTTTAAGTCCTCAATTTCGGGGCTGGCTGGACTCTGATAACAGAAGCTGTGCAGTAACAGCAGCTCAGTCTGCTTTTTCCACCCGGTTGATGAACCCGCTCCAGAAAGGCGACTCTCAACCCAATTAGGCGACTTGGAGCGCCGCGGATGACCAGTGGCAACGCCACTGAGACGCTCATAACACGACCTACAACTCGGCGAAAACAGCACACGGTTGCAGCTCGTGTCATGCTGCCCCCCGTCCGTCGACGCCAGGCGCTTCGGCAACGGGTCCCAGGCCGCCTTTTGACTGGAAAGGATTTAAGCTGCTTTTTGGAAGGCTATTCTACTGTATCTCGCGACTGCACGTCAGTCGGTCTGCTAGTGCTGCCTTGAGCAGGAATGCTGATAGCGTTGGTGTGAGGTTTGGCGCTATAAACTTTTTAAAGTGCTCTGCCTGGAAAGGTGGTGAAGGGGGAATTGCTCCAATGCCACTATACCCAGATGAGCTGTACCATTTCTTCTTTACAGACCAAGCGACCAGCAGATGGAATAAGCATTCTGGCGGCGATTTTGCTGTAAAGCACCGTTATACCGCCACGTTAATCTTTATACATCGGGTAGCGGTTCTGTACCCCCCTAAGTGCGGGCGAAGCTAGGATCCATCCTGTTCCCAAAGCTTTATGCGATTCGAAGGTGTAGAGAAAAATGCAACATGCTATAGCTTAGGAACTGCTCCACCTTCCCATGTTGAGGGCGGGCCCATCAGCAAGTGGCTCGCAGAGCTGGAGTTCTCTCTTCGATGGCATATTCAAAACTAAAGGGTATTCGGTTTTGTGAGCTGCACAGAGCCGGTTCAGTTGCGCGGCAAGGCACAAAACCTTACGTTGCTGATCTGTGGAGTGGCAATTTTGCGTAGATTACATTTAGTAGGCAGAAAGGAGCAGAACAAAGGAAGACAGAGTCTTTCCAATAACAGAACAGCAAGCCCGCAGTGCACAGCTGCACAAAGGAGCCGTACCATTTTACAGGCTGGTCATACATACTGGCAATCCTACTGGAGTGGGAATTACTCAATAATGCGTCCGCTTGCAAGCAACTGACTATTTCCTTGTCGATACAAAAACTCCAGGACGCCGCGCTGGCCTCAAGCACTTGTATCGTCAGATATTCAAATCGGGGCTCTCAGTGAAGCCCAACAGCTGGATAGGCTGCATCCAACTACAAAATGACAGCCAAGGTAGCTGGCCTGCAGAGCACTTCTTCATCTTTTTTGGTACCTTACACTAACTGTCGGCAGACTGGTTGCTTTGCTTAGCCGAAAGAGCTTCCCACCAAAGAACTTCAGTGTCTCTGCCGCCTGGCAGGGTCGTCTGTTTGCCTTAAAGAGTTTCAAGTTATTCCATCTAAAGGAAAATGCCGAGTTCTGCGATGTTCAACAACCTTATAATTACTGGGGAGCCTGGGGGATCGGTTCAGTGCAGCATAGGGAAGACCGTAGACCCTCGAAGTTTCAAGCATCCTTATGCCCGAAATACGATATACAAAAAGTATTCAAATTCCGTACTAGTGAGTTTCGTTCACACAAAGCACTTTACTTCACTACATATCTTACTCCCCCTGTACGAAACCAAAACAGAGTAGTCCCTTCTGCTTACTGCCGCCACTGCGCGAAATCGGAGCCACGCCTTGCATGCAGAGAAAGACGCATGAGCCCCCAGCCCAGAGATGGAGTTGGCGGTCCGGCCTACTAAAGGCTGCCTGCTAAGCTCATCGCTGCTGTGTGCAGCTTTACGGGGAGCCAAAGAGGGACTGCCAAGAGCGAAAGGGGCGCATATTGAAGCTCAAAGGCTCCAAGGCGTGTGCCTAGGCGCCCCCCTCTTGTTTTTATAGTTTGCACTGCGGAACGCGGAAGTATGACGTTACGGTGCAGTTGACGCCTCTAGCGCCACATGCCTCAACTGCCGCATGCCCTGCATAGAGCAGTTTCGTGAGTTAGGATGGGCCTACAAATGCTCAACGAGCCTAGACTCAACAGTTGCCAGAAACACAGACAGGCATCGCGTACGAAGCCCCGAAAACGGGAAACAAACATTCACTTTCTTAAGGCTGACTTGGCAGCCCTGCTGAGAGATACGACTGTTGGCAACACGAAAGGCAGCAGCAGCGGCACATGTACCGCCAGGTTGAAGTGAAGTGAGAAAAACGGCGCAGGCTCTAGGCTACCGTCCGTCAGGAGCTGCATCCAAAGCACAAAAACAGACACACTACAAAATATCGGCAGGCCTACGTCCACGCCTACATGTGCCTAATACACAAAATTATATATACCCACTACATGAGCGTGAATATATAATCATATAACGCATAAACACACATGAAGGCACACATACGCACAGTAGCACACCAGATTAAGACAACGCACAATTCTTACCCCCTCGCCCCACTCCCAACGCAACTCACAGCCTTTGCATCTTTCATTGCCGCCCGCGCCAAGAGCAGCGCGAGTTGTCTGTACACCGCAGTCTTTCCTGAAGGAGAACTCCTTGAAAACCCGCCGCACCCATCCGCCCGTCCAGCGGGAGGGCCTAAAGCACCTAACAATGGAACCCCGTCGGAGTCTTTCATGGGGCAAATATCCGCGTCCACACGCAGAAGAAACTCTCTTGCTGCCGTTGGCAGCGTAGGGCACCGCTGCATGCGCAAGGCTTGCAAACTGCACTGTATCTGATTCAGCACACCCTGCACAGCGGCCAGAGAAGCGCAAATACACAAGCACACGCAGTTGCTGAACTGGTCCTGTCTCCTTTATCCGCAACCAAGTTAATCGATGCCCGTTGCTGCTACCGTTCAGCTGCGTTGTCACAACATTTTCACTTTTATTCGGGTTCATATGCCCTGGAAACGCACTTCCCCCGTCCCACTTGCAGCTATTGCTATCATGTGCATCTCCCCGGTGTCGCTTCGCAAATTTCATCCTCTCCCTAGTTTTGCAACAGTAAAGTTTAGGAAAGTCTTGCCCCCTCCAATATAAGTTGTTTGAGGCGCATGCACACTCCTTATGATTTAGACTAAACTTTAGGTGACCTGCCAATACACGAGTGGGCGTTTCTCTCAGCTGAAAGAGAATGGCTATGCACTGTGAGCTCTCACGTGCATGGCTTGCGCCACGTATTTCGTGACGCGAACGTCGGTTCCTTCAACCAACACGCTATGCAGCGTCTGGATGTTCTTTGCTGCTTCAGTGATCATTTTAAAGTGCGCATCAGCAGCCAAGCCGCCAAGCTCCCACTCCGTCAAGCCCCTGCTGCTCGGGTGTACATACACCCCGACACGTTTGTCGAAGGAATCCCTGCGTGCCACCAGCACCGCCCTAATCGGCGCCAATGCAAAACCAGCATCACCAAAAAGCAAGTCCGAGGTATCTCCCTTCTGGGCGACCCCTGTGTAGCCGGTGGGATCAGTGAGATCGGCTACCGCGACTCTCCACGCACACCTTTGCGCACGGCAGTGCTCCCCACAAAGTGTGCTATCAGCAGGTGGGCGGCAGGAGAGCTCTGCGAGGTCGTCTTCCTGCAACTCAGGAGTTGGCTGCAGTCCCAACACAGAGCGAAGCTGCGCTATCCAGGCACCGCGCACAGCCGCCTCCTCCTCCAGACGCTGGGAACTAAAGTCAGATGCCCGATTTCTGAATCCTGACCCTGGCGAAGGCACACCAAAGGTGAGAAAGCCCCAAGATGGGAGCGCCACGGCAGAGCCCGGCGCCCAGGCCTCTGTTCGCGACGAAGGCCTGTAGAGAGTGAGGTTCACAACAGAGGCAGAGGGGCTGTAGTCAGGATCCGATCCCCACTGCTCCTGCAAAACGAGCAACCGCCGCACCGTTTCCTCTTGAAACGCCTTCTCCGCTTTCCCCCTAAGCTCCTCCCCCCGTCGTAGGAGATCCCACTCCACTTCTCCCAGTCCACTGTCAGGCACTACCTGCAGCAACAGGAAAAGCCATGACAATTTGTGGTCTGGCGGCGCATGCAGTCATGGTGCATGTGCATGCACTGCAAGTACTGCATGTACTACGTAGCCTCTAGCTCAGATTTGTCGCCAACCGCAATGTGTGTGGTGCCTCCGTCTAGCAGCAAAAAGCACACGGGAGCAGCAGCGAGCAGCAGCAAAAGCGAGCAAACAGCGAGCCGCAGCTTCATGCAGCAAACTGAGTTACCTGAGATGTGATTTGTAGATCAAGGAGACTGCTGATCGCCTCCAGAAAACCCCGCAAGTGGATCCGCAACAAGGCCCAGCCGTCCCAACTAAGCTGCGGGGGAGCGGAAGTCCCTAACGCCCTACTGGAAGGCCCCCCAACAGCAGCCCCAGCAACTCCTACTATATCCTCGACCCCACCAGAGAAGCCGACCCCCTCTTTTGTCTGGCCGTTCAAATCTATGTCTCCCTCCTCACCTCGGACTTCGCCTGTGTCTCCAAGCAGCCACAGGCGAATGCGCAGGTCGGCAGAGACCGCAGCGCCGTCCTTAAGAGGTGACAACACCCAGCGGCCTAGCGCCTGTACTGCTGCCTCAGCTGCCACTTGCTGCAAAGCAGCGTCGCTTTGGTCGCCTCCGCTGCCGCTTCCCTCGCTGCTGTTGCTCCTGCTTTTGGGTACCACTAACAGCAGAGAAGACCCTGCGCCTATGTGCAAGCGGGGCGCTGCTCCGTCTTCAAGCGGAGCCGCCACAAGTAACTGCAACGTGCTAAATCCCTCAGGCGCCCCAGCTGCCCCATCATGCGCATTAGTATGCCTAAGGGCGGCCTTTACGGCCGCAGCGTCTGATGTGCATGAAGGCGTGTCCCGTGGGGCAGGAGGCAAAAGGTGGACTGCCAAGATCGCGTTGGCACTGCCTGACAGTGGAGAGGCATCGCGCCCAGCAGAAGCCAACACAGATGCAACGGGGATCGCCGTGCAGGTCGTATTCATGGGGAGGGTTGTTGGGCGGGGTTCGCCAACAGACACCAGGTGTCTGTACACCTGACGAGCTGCGGGCACGGCATCGGGACAGAGAGGCACTACATGCAGAGTCGTGAGCCACTGCAACAGCTTTCCGTGTGAAGATGAGGCGGAAGGGCATGAGGGAAGGTCCCCTGGAGGGGCGTCACTTTCGGGGATTTCCTGCCCGCCTGCCTGTGGCAAATGGCCTTGCAACCGTCGCTGCCACTGTTCAAGGTGAGTCGACACCGCTGTCGAAACGGTGCAATTTCTAAGAGGCGAGTCTGCCGCTGCTTGTAACCTGTCACTTCCGTCGTGGTGTGGCGCATCAGCCGTTCCAGTGGTTGCCGGGGAGAACAGCAGCGGCAGGCCATCAGATCTGAGGTAGGAGCAAGGATCTGGGATGTCGTGTCGCTCTACCTGGACGCCTTGCCACCAAAGCCAACACAAGACAATGTTAATAAAAGTAAACACACTGAGAGCTACAGGTCGTACTGTTTGCCCCCGGGCCGTCATCCTCCTCCAGCTCGGAGCCGGCTGTATTGTGTTGAGCTAAACGTGGGTCCTGAAATCCAGCAGAAAAGGAAAACAAGCAATATCTGGGGAGTGGACAAGCGGGCCCAGAGCCAAGGGATGCATTTGCAATCGCTGAACACTGCGTCTCGCACAGACAGCGCATGCAGCAACGCCCCGTGCACCCTGCTAATCCTGCGAGGCCCGAACACAATGGGTATAACCATCTTCTGGGAACCATACATATATTCTTATTGAAAGAAACGGAGATATCTTATTCTGCTGAGCTAAAAGGCACTCACACTCAGCCAATGGCGCACGCGCGCAATGAGCCGCCGTATCTACCCAGCCGTGTTTCCCTCAGCCCTGAGGAGAAGAGCAGCCATTCCGGTGCTGTCGGTTGAAATCCGTTTTCTTTGACTAGGAATATGCTTCATAATTCGATTAATGTGTAGTTTCCGCATTTATTTACCGGCATAAGTCGGCCGGCCGCCAGACCTGGCCGCTACGCCTACGGACTGGTAGACGGGGAAGGTCGCCCAGGGCCTTCTGCACAAGTTGCGTAGGGTAGGTTAACTGACACGGTATAGCGAGCTCCTTAGGAGATTTGGATGTATGGAACCTAATCAGACAGCCATGGCAGCGCTTTTCTCCCGCAGACATGACTGTGCACTGTAGACCCCTACGCGGACCTACAGGGTCTCGCCGTCGTAGGAGCAGCTCTGCATTCATTTGGTTGAAACATCAACGTAGGACTTGTAAAGATGTAGGCGGATCAGCTGACGCGCAACAGGGAGTTACGTTTTTTGCAATCCCTCTTGAGGACGGTGGCCTGGCGCCGCTGAATGCCAAGGCTGTGCTGAAGTCAGGGGATAGGGACAGAGACTGCGCATCCCCGATATTAAATCTTTTAACTGAGGAACGCGTTAGAAGTGCGTTTCATGCCACACCAGAAAAAGATGCCTGTTCACTCGGGCAAGTGCTTGCAGAACCCCTTCACCACTTGCGATCTTCTATCTCCTCTAAGGGGAGTGAAGGAATCTCCTCGAAGAGGACTGACGGAACGGCAGCACATCCTGAAGAAAATGAGGCTACAAGAGAACAGGGGACTTCTATGGTGTGCAATCTCTCGAGTTACGTGAATTCTACACTTCTTGACGAGCCAAGCTGGCCGAAAAAAGGGTCAGGCGGCTGCGCAAATTTGTTTTCGCTACAGAGCAGGAACATTAAAACCCTATCAACGGAGGGAAAGCAGGTCTCCTCAGCAGCAGTCCAGACCTTGCAGCGATCCCTGGGTGCTGCTGACAAAACCTTGAATATGCCTTCCGGCGATTGTGCTTTTGTAAATGGCGCCCCAGACAATCAGATGGCCACATCACTGCTGGCAGTTGCTCAGGAAAGTGGATTGTACACAGCACTCCAGGATTTTCCCACGGACATATATGCACGAGCGCTTCAAAGCAACGCAAAAGGAAACACAGGAGTAGAAGGGGGAGGGGACGCAAATGAGCAAGGAAGACCAACCAAACCGACGTTGACGAATTCCTCTGGGGACGAGTGGACAACTGCAGGCCAACCGCATTGCCGCTCGCGTTCACGCAGTCCCGATCTTTGCGTACGTTGTGGGGATTCTCATGAAAAGGCAGCTTTACGTTGTTCTCAAGAATCACTAGCCGTTGCTAGCTCATTCGAAAATCAACATCGCTACGATACATGTGTGCCTCAAACTAAACCAATGTTTGCAGTCAACGAAATGCACGCCCTACAGTCCCCCTCCTTCGAGCTTGAGGGGACCTGCGCTGTCTCACCCACCAAGTACAACAACATACTATCCGACAATGGCTCAAATGGCAAATCTAAGCACAACCGACGTGCGCAGGAAGATCAGTACAGCGCAAACTCGCCAAGAGACTCATCAGCAGGAGCAGGGGCAAACACATCCCGCATCCCAATGCCCCAGTCGCACCCCCAGCCAACCTGGGACATTCCAGAAACATTCCCCGACACTATGCGCCCGCATAGAAGTGGCAAATACGACTCTGCATTCACATCACGCCAACAAGAACAGCACCAAATTGCAACCGACCCTAGACAACGCGTGCTGTTTACCCGAACCAATTCGGCAGAGAAGGAAAGCCGCAGTCAACACGCAG